AACAAGTCAGAGCGCCGACCACCCTCTATTCCCGAAGACGCTACACTTGGCCGCGAAGCCCGCCCGCCACTTAGCGCACCCTTGCAGCATCGCAGCGCAGGTCGAGGGCGCGATCCTCAAACAGCATCCCTCCCACCAGCGCGCCCAGATGACCCCATGGGCGGTCTCCCCATGTACTTGAAGCCAATCAACGAAGCAGGTACTAGCAAGGACGAACCAGCGCCAGACAAGGTCATCAGACTACAGAAGACGCTGGGAGGCGCCTTCAACGGGATCTGGACCGCCTGGGTCCGTAAGGCAGCCAACAAGCAAGGGAGCCCATGGGTTAACATCAAGTCCGACCCCAGGAAGAAGGCGTTACAGCAATGTGAAGACTTCCTCAAGGCATGAAACAAAGCAGGCTTCGACGCCTACGCGATGCACGACGAGTACCAGTTCCACGTAGAATGGCCAGCCATCCTGGACAAGCAGTGCCAGCAGTTACACCGCGACACCAAGACACGCACCCCCAAAGGTCCCAGTGGAGGCGGTCGCCCGTATCCATGGGCTGTCGGCAGCAATGTTGCGACAGGTTCCCCCCCAGTGCCAGCCGGTGACAGAGACGCCACTCAAGCAGCTTCCTCAGGCGGGCCCAGTGGAGATGGCTGCCGGCACCCATGGAGCAAACCAAAAGTGGCCACATGTCCCCCCCCGGTGTACACCGACTACTGGGTTGCCACGCAGACAGGCGCATCCAGTTCAGCCGCCCAATGGGATCCACGCAGGCAAGGCACGTGGACCGACACAGAATGGAGGACCAGGGAGAAACGAACTGCCCCCAGAGGAGACGCTCACTATGCTGACAAACGACAGCGCGGATGGGACGTTGCCCGCAAGTGAGCTCGCCTTGTCCATCCAAAAGGTACGTTGTCCCCTCCATTTCCCCAGGCCCAGGAAGGCAGCCCCATCGTCGAGGGACAGTTGACTAGGGCTCCATCGCCCTCTCCCTGCTCTTGCCCTCCCCTGCGCTCTCGAGTGCGCTCCGCGATGCTCGTCTGCGGCTCAAGCCACCTATCCCCCCAGGACGACACTCTGGGTCGCTACTCTGCCCGCTTCCCCCCTGATCATGCCAATGCTCCGAGTTGCCACTCAGCCCGTGACGGAACGCCGCGCTTGCTTTCTGGACAACATCGACCTCGGTCAGCTGGGGACAGCCTCCACCTCCCTATACAAAGTGGTCTCCATCGCGCTGACCCTGTGGGCCAGATGGGACCACGCCGTGCCATGCGGGGCCCAACGGGTCGGCAGCCCTATGGTCCTCGACCGCCCCTTTGCCGCACACAGACACGCAATTGGTGAGGATTAAGACGACGCGGACAGCTGTCCCCCACGGGCCACCGCTTCTGTGGGTGGCCCCTACACGACAGGGGCCCGTTTCACCGCAGTAACAGGCTCTGGCCTTAATACTTTCGAGTCACCTCCTGGGGGTGAGGTGCACCGCTCACACTGCGACTAGACTCCCACGGGGCATCGTGGGCTATTAGCCTGTGTGGTAATGGCTGCAATAATTCCTGCCCGCGGTTCACTTTGGCCTTGTTCACACGGACGTGGGCCCGTCTCGCACGCTGGGCACTCTTTTTGGATGGCTGGGGCTGCAGGCCTAAGGCCTGCCCCATTCGCTCCGACGACTGGTGACCTTGCTCTGGTGGCGTTTCCCCCCCACCAGGCAGGCGCCTTCCGCCGACTACTTTCCGACTACGCCTCGTTGGGTCCTCGACTGACTGTGTCGCCACATGGCTCTCGTCCTCCTCCGTTGTATTCAACTGACTTGCGGCTATCGGCTGCGCCCCCCCCCTCCTCCTCCACGACGACTGCCGTGGCGGGCCGCTCGACGTGTTCTTTCCCACGCTTTAGGGTGCGCTCTTCACCGGCGGCTGCCCCCACGGGCCACTGCCGACGGGGTGGCTCCTTCGCGACAGGGGCTCGTTGCACCTCAGTGGTAGGCCTTGGCCTCAACACCCTCGTGTTACCTCCTGGGGACGAGGTGCACCTCTCACAACGCCGCGTCTAGATTCCCACGGCGCCTCGTGGGTTCTTAGCCCGTGTGGTATTGGCTGCATTAATCCTTCCCACGGCTCACTTTGGCTTTGTTCTCACGGACATGGGCTCGCCTCGCCCGCCCGGGCACTCACTTTGGGTTGCTGGGGCCGCCGGCCTAAGGCCCGCCCCATGCGCTCCACGCGACGCACATACGACAATTGGTGACCTGGTTCCGTGGCGTTTCCCCCCCACCAGGCAGGCGCCTTCCGGTGGCGACATCACGGAATAGGGTGCGCCCATCGTGGCTCTGACAGGTCGGCCCACCCAGGCTTCCTGTACCGGGGCGCAGTCTGGCAGGGTCGTGCTCACCGGTCTGGCGCTCCGTCTGTTGCCCACCAGCAAAGCACAGCCGACGGTTGGTGATAACGTATTGGCCCACGTGACGTTCCCCCCTCGCGCAGTGGTGTTTCTACTCGACTTCACGTCTAGTCCGCTGGTGCCTGGTTTGGTGATGCCAGCTTCGAGCACCTGAGGTGCTCCGTGAGTGAGGCCTTACCCCCTCTCTGCTCGCCTTCGTTGCCCTTTCTCAGGCGGGCGTGCTCTTCGCCGTCCGGTCTGCTGGGTGCTGGCGCCACTGTGCGTCGCCCCGCCGCCCGTTCTCGGCTGCCGTTTTTGCGGTTTAATGAGGTTCATTTTGTTCTTCGCATGTTAAGATGCGTCTCCTTGAGTTTAGTTCATTTTGTTCTTTGCATGTGCAACTGCGAGCTTGCTTGCAGGTGCGGTCGGCTGTCGACAGGGACGGCTGGATTCGCAAATTATCTGGCTCTGTGCCCCAGACGACCTGATTGACCCGCCCTCTGGAACCGTCCTTTGGGCCGCAGATCAAGAAAGAATCCCCGCCAGCCCATCCAGAAACGATGTCCAGGCAAATTGAAGAGATCAGGGAAGTGGGGGAGCAACGAGAGGGACAGCCGATCCGTGCAAAGGATGAGGCGGCAGAGGAGGCCAAATGGATAGATGAGGGGGTGGCGAGGAACCGAGCAAAGGAGGGATGAGGATAATGATGACGCTGGGTGGGTGGTAGAATGCCGCTCGGATGTCTCTTGGAAGCCTTTTGGAAGCTTCTTCGGGCGTCTTGGGGGTCACTTGGCGGTCAATGGGGGCTCTTGGGCGTCTTGGGTGCTTCGGGGGGGCCTCTTGAGGCCGCTTGGGATCCTCTTGGGGGGCTCTTGGGGGCCTGTTGGAGGCCTCTTGGGGGTCTCTTGGAGCTTCATGGCGGCCTCTTGGAGCATCTTGGAGGCCTCTTGGAACCATCCTGGGAGCCTCTTGGAGCCTCTTGGTGGCTTCTTGGGGCTTCATGGTTGCCTCTTGGGTCCTCTTGGCGGCCTCTTGGAAGCCTCTTGGGGTCTCCTGGGCGCCCTTTAGGGCCATCTTGGAAGCGATCGATCAAAGAAGAGGGTGGGGTTAATTAGCCTTGCCCCCCCAAGAGGCCAACATGGGGCCAAAACCTTAGTAAAATCGATGATGTTGGCTTCCTCGCCTTCCCCGAAAGGGAAGAAGGAGGTTGGGGGAGGAAACTCCCGGAACCACCTGCGCCCAGAGGGCTGGTGGGATTTGTTTGGTATCGGGCGTGGGCATGCCCAGACTCCACCCTACACATGCTCATTGTCCTCCTCCCCCTCCTCTTCCTCTTGCTCCTCCTCCTCCTCCTCCTCCTCCTCCTCCTCCTCCTCCTCCTCGTGCACCTACCTCCTCCCTCCCCCGTCCTCCGACTCCTCCCCCCCCTCCTCTTCCTGCTCCTCCTCCTCCTCCAACGCGCCCGCCCTCGTTTCACTCGCCCCTCCCCCCCCGCTTCTTCTTCAGCGGTCACTCGATGAGGCGCCCTTTGCAGAGGGCGGCCCCGAGCCCGCCCCCCCCGACCAGTCTCGCCCACTCCGCCCCGAAGTAGCGCGATCCGCGAACGTGTCGACGCGAACGCACGAGGAGCAGCATCGCCGATGCAGCAAGGAGAAAAGTCGAGCGAGACAGCGGGCCCCTCTTGCTCCCCGACCGCCCAGAAACAATGGAACAAGCGGCGAGTCAGCGGGCCTTCGTTGCTCCCCGCCCGCCCAAAAACAATGGAACCAGCAGCGAGTCAGCGGGCCCGTCTTCCTCCCCGCCCGCCCAGAAACATTAAAACCTACGTCGGCGCAGGTTTGCCCATGGTCTTCTCCAACTCCTGGCCGCTGGGGCACGCGCGCCCCCAAGCCAGTCCGGCGCTGGCGCGCCCCGCGCTCTGTTGCCGCTTGCGCATCGAGCACCCCTGCAGATTGATCATCAACTCGCATGTCGGGCAAACCTGCATTCAAATTCACTGGCGCAGTGGGCGCACCTGCATCCTAATTCATCCACCGGCGCACTGGGCAAATCTGCATCGTCATTCATTAATGAACATGCGCGGCTCCTTATTTCGGGAGGCGGTCGCCCTCCCGCGCCACGACGTCCTCGAGGCGCCCGCGGAATTCTCAGCAGAGCCCGGAGACATCATACTCCTGGTTCATGGCTGCGACTACGCGGCGAGCTCGCTTCGCCCACTGCTCCGTGGTCTCATGCCGCGGCAAACCATCTGGGCGCTCGTTCCGCATCCGCTTGCGGAACCATGCCGCTGCGGTCTCATGCAGGAGCACATCGCCCATGTCGGGCGACTGTCTGGCCGCGTCCCTCCCCCAATGCAGGTGCATGGTAGCAGCCTCCATGGCCTCCGCGTACTCGTTGACGACCTTGCCCACCGGGTTGTACATGCCTGTGCCGCGGTCGGTAAACGCATGGCGCGGCAGCCGTGCGCCAGCGCCTAGCATCTTGCGGATAATTCTTGGGGGCCTCTCGACAAAGAGGGCCATGCCTTTCCCGTTGAGCTTCCAGTCCGCAGGCATGACCTCCACGTGCACCACGCCGCGTGCAAGCACTGCAAGCACCATGAACCAGTTCACCTTGGTGCCATCCTACTGCCGCTGCTTCAGCGCCGTCGGGGGGCCGAGCCAGTTCGGGGAGTGCATTTTCGCGTCGTCCGAGATGTACCTCTTGCTGCCCTCGAACGCCCGGCGCATCTGGTCATGCTGCTTCTGGGGCCCAGGGACGATCGACGCGCAAGGGTCGAACCACACCACATGCTGCGCCCACCAGGCTGGCGACTGCCCGTGCCGGAGGAGGTAGCGGGTCATGGCGAGGCGGTGATCCTTGACGGCTTTCGGCAGGAAGACTTTCTGCATCGCGCGCTGGAATTTCCACGGGTATTCCGGGTCGAAGTCATAGCAATCGTTCGTGAACACTTCCCGTATCTTCTTGTCGCAGAAGGGCTTTCCCGCCCCCGGATTCAGCGTCGCCGCGGGGCAGGCGATGACCACCGCGGCGACGTAGGGCTCCTGGTCGCGCTTCTTCGCCGCCATCGCCGAGGCGGCTATGCAGCGGCGCTTGGCCGCCGTGAGCAACGGCTTCGGGCCCCGCTTCGCGCCCGAGTGCCTCCCCGGGAACCACTCCGGATCGCCATCGATTTTAGTGAACAGCGTGTGCACCGCAGCCCTGGCGGGCGCGCCTCCGCCTGACTTCGTCAGCCGCGCGGCGACCCACTCCATGTTCGGCTGGCCCCCGTGCACCTCCTTGCTCGCTTCGCGAAGGCCGAGCGCCTCGACGACCTCCCATGGGCTGAGGCGGCCGGCGGGGGCCGACGGCCAGAACTGGCGGAGGGCGTCCTGGTCAATAGGGCCCGACATCGGGCTGGCGAAAAGCGCTGGCGCAGTGGCGTCCTTGTGGATTGGGCCGAAATGGCTGCGACGACGGCGGGGCGGGGAGGGGTCGCGGCGGCGCCAATGGCAATGCGCAGTGGCACGTTGGGCAGAATTGCGTGGGCGAGTGCGCTTTCATACAGCGCAACATAATAGTTTGCCCCGCGCATCAGGCGCGTCGCAGGCGGCGCCCGCGCGAGGCCGTGGGGCGCCGTCCCATCACAGGCGCTCCCCTGCATGACGCTTCTGCCCTGGAGACGCAGGCGGCGTGTGCTCGGCCATGGGGCGCCTCCGGCTGGGTGAGCGGTCGCAGGGGGGCGTCCTGGCTGCGGCGTACACGGGCTCGCCGATGTAAGCCGACACACAATTGCTCGCGATGCACTCGATCTCTAGCACTGTCAATGTCGACAAGTCCCATTTGTTTGTGGTGAGGATGATCGGAGTGCGCCACAGGAAAACTTCGTACGTGTACAACTGCGTAGCCGACTGGCCCAGACTCGCACCGTCCACGTGCGCCTGGAGAAGCTTCTTGTTGTCGGCAATGAAGTGCGGGCTCTGCACTTCGTCCATGAGGACGGCGAGATGGCGGTGCCGCTCGTGCCCATGCATGTCTGGGTGGTCTTTGTGTTGGACGTCTACGACCATGGTGCGGTCTGTCCCAAAGAGGGCACGGGCCAGGCAGGACTTGCCCGTTCGAGATGGGCCATGGAGCACAAGCATCTTGTAGCGCTCCTCAACCTCCTCGTAGCTCATCTTCCACAGCTCAATCTCGGGCGGCAGCGGCTTTAATGGGAGTGCCTTCAATTGCACCTGCTCCCTTGCCCGCGCGCGCTCCGCCTCGAAGGCCAGAACGGCCTAGGACTTCTTCGCGGCGTCCACCGAAGCCATCCTCCTGTCGTGGCCGTCCCGCAGCTTCGCCGAGAGCCGCAGGTACGCGTCGTGGCCGAGCTTGTGCTGCTTGTAGAGGCTCACCACCCACCCTGGCTCAGGGGCCCACAACCCCGGTCACGGGGGGTAGGTCGTGTCCGTGTACACGGCGCCCCCCTTGCGCACGGAGCAGTAGAAGTGGCCCCGCTGCGTCGCCTTGACCCAGTGGCGCGGCCCGCGCATCTCACTGTCGACGTCGACGCGGGGGCGGGTGTTCTTGAACACCCACGAATCAGTCCTGGTGTGGTCAATACCTTTCGTCCCGGGCTTCTGCCAACTGATGTGCGCATGCAAATGCGCGCGCCCAACGTTGCACGAGTGCAACGACCGCTCCATGGCAGCGCTCCAGAAGGACGCTTCGCGTGCCTGAACCCGGCCTTTGACCCGCCCCACGAACTCCCTCCATAAGTCCGCGCCGTCGGAGAAGTTCAGCGATTTGAACGTGAGCAAGAAAGCCTTCGACTTCAAGCGGAACGCCTTGCGCCCGAACCCGGCGTAGAACGTCTGAGGGGGCGCCCTGTGCATGTCGACGAAATCGCTGGCCACGCGAGTGGGATCGCCCGCAGCAGCGTTTTCCTCATCGGCCCCCGTGTATCAGGCTCCGGGAAATCACCGCCACCATGGTTCTCAACCCACTTGTCACGTGCCGCACGCAAATCGCTCAGAGAGTCCGGCGGCAGTCGCGCCAACAGAACATTCCACAAGCTCACTATCTGTTCTTTACCTGCGCGCGTGGGCACTGGGTCGACACCAATGGTCTCAGCAAGGGCGTTGAACGCCCTTGCTGCTGCGGTCCGGCCAGCCCTGAACTCCAACTGCCGCGCAGTGTCAGCAGGCGTCCTTCGACGAGCGGCAAGCCGCGTCGAGCCTCGCGATTCGCTCGGGCGCCCCGCGAGCGGGAGGGTCAAGATAACCCACTTTGAGCCAGGGCGGCACGACGAGGTAGGAAGGGGAGGGAGGGAAGGGAGGGAAATACCCAATGAATTAGTATTGGGCTTCCCGTGGAAATCGGGGCTGATGTCACTACAGGCGCAACTATTCAAAACAAATCGTGCTGTCCATCTTGGACTTGGCTTCTGAGCTGGGGTCGCAGCGCGTGCAGGTATCCCCGGAACGCGCGATCGAGAACATGCCAAACAAATGTGTTGAATTCCAATACGATATTGGGGCCGACGTGGCCACAGGCGCACCTCTTCAAATATAGTCGTGCTTTCCGTCTTAGATTCGGCCTGCGAACCGGGGTCGCAACGCGTGCAGATTTCCAATAGGAACTGGGGCCAATGCGACCACAGGCACAACTATTCTGAAATTGAGTCGTGTTTTATCTCTTGGATTCGGCCACTGGGCTTGGGAAAACACACTTTTGCAGAAGAAAAAGGCCGAACCCAGAGAACTAGTCTGAAACATATTGGTTTTCCAATACGAAGTGGGGTAGATCAGGCGACCCAAGCACAAGTAGTCCAAACGGGCGGTTCCTTTTCAAACATGTGCGTGTTTGGGGGTGACAGCAGTATGTCCCCCCAAGGGGTCCCCCCCCTTGAAGGGAGGGGGCGGTGTCTCCCCCGGCGCGTCTCCCCTCCCGAAGGGGGATCAGCGCCGCACCGGGGGCCTCTCCTTTCTAAAGGGAGAGCTGGTCGGCCAGACCGAGACACTGGCCAGCAGTGAGGCGAGAACCAGGGAGTGGCCGGCATTCGGGCGAGAGCGCACGTGAACGGCCTAGCCGCCATCGTCGGCGTCGTCGTCGTCGTCGTCGTCATCGTCGTCGTCGTCGTCGTCGTCGTCGTCGTGGTCGTGGTCGTGGTCCTGGTCGTGGTCGTGGTCGTGGTCGTGGTCGTGGTCGTGGTCGTGGTCGTCGTCGTGGTCGTCGTCGTGGTCGTGGTCGTCGTGGTCGTCGTGGTCGTCGTGGTGGTCATGGTGGTCGTGGTGGTCGTGGTTGTCGTGGTGATGGTGATAGTGATGGTGATGGTAATGGTCATGGTGATGGTGATGGTGGTGGTGGTGGTGGTGGAGGTCGTCGTCGTCGTCGTCGTCGTCGTCTTCGTCGTTGTGGTCCTGGTCGTGGTCGTGATCGTGGTCGTGATCGTGGTCGTCGTGGCCGTCGTCGTCATGGTCGTGGTCGTCGCGGTCGTCGTCGTCGTCGTGGTGGTCATGGTGGTCGTGGTGGTCGTGGCGGTCGTGTTGATGGTGATAGTGATGGTGATGGTAATGGTGATGGTGATGGTGGTGGTGGTGGTAGTCTTCGTCGTCGTCGTCGTCTTCGTCTTCGTCGTCGCCGTCGTCGTCGTCGGGTGCTTTGGGCGCTCCGATACACATTGTGTTAGGTATGTCACGTGATGTATGGAACTGAAAGAACAATTAATTCACACACGTGGTGGGCATCATTACACTTGTGACGTTATGCCCCCTGGGGGGTCCCAAGGCACATTGGGATGTGCCGAATGGTATACGTCACGTGGCACAGCCACCACCGACAGAATGCCTGCTGGTATCCGGCGTTCGGCCACGTGGCGGCGTCAAAAGAAAACCGTTCCCAGCCTGTAGTATACCTCCCAGAGGCCCAGGGAGGCCCCAGGACACCCCGAAAATCGCCTCCAAGAGGCCCCCGAGCGGCTTTCCAAGAAATCCCCCCACAGGCATTCAAGCGGCCTCAGGCCTACAATCTAATCAAGCGCGGATGTAGGGTCTTGTGGAGCACAGTGCCTTCGTTGCGCAGCCTGCGCTTTGCAGGCGAGAGTGTCGCTCTGCACGCGCTCTGCCAATTTGTATAGCGAGCGCCGCAGGTGCCAATGCATAGGCTGGCCGTTCCCGACAGGCCTGCCTGGTCGCAGGCCGCACGGGGGCCCGCCTGCCGACGCCAGGAGGGGTGACGCTTATCCATGTGGCCGAGTGCGTTTACATAAGGCTGACCGCTTTTTCCTGCGCGAGCAACGGAGCAGCTGCAATATTACTATCAAAAGACGTGGAGGAACCGACTTTGTATAAAACAGAAGAAATACATTCTTCCAGTTTTTAAGTTAATCTGCAAGACAGCTTTCCTCCTATTTTCGGGGCACTGATACGCGTGTTAAAAGCTCTACGAGGCTCTTGGCGGTAACCTGGTTGACGGTTTACCGCCGGCTCCCAATCCATGTGGCCGAGTGCATGTACATAAGGCTGCCGTTTTTTTCTTGCGCGAGCAACGGAGCAATAACACCAGAAACGATACGAGTGTCCTGTCGTCTTGATTTCGGTCAGGCTTCCACCACATTGTTATCAATTGTTAGGTGTCGGTGTGTCCGCCAACGACCTTCCGTGGCCATGCTGTCTTCCATTATCGCAGTGCACGGCTGAATTGAGTGCTAGCTGCTATACACAGTGGCTCGTCGCATAGATTTATGGAGAGACGCTCTGGCGACACGGTCAGGAGCGTACACAAACAAATGGTTCCTTACTTGCTGCCTGGATTCCCAGAATCAATTGCAGCAGGTCCCACTACTATCCGCGAGGGAGCTCCCGAATCGCCCCTCCACTCCTGACTTGCAATTTGCGATGCGAGTTCCTCAGGCACGGCTAGAATCTAAGCGCGCGCGAAGCGCGCGCGTGTTTTTCTAATACATGTATGTATGTATGTATGTATGTATGTATGTATGTATGTATGTATGTATGTATGCAGCAGTGCCACGGCGGATTTCCTGTGTAGCCTCAAGCAAGATCCGGACTAGAAACAACGATCGTATAAGTGATGCGCGTGGGTGAATAGCGTTTCGGTCTCTCGCTGTTTATCTAAGCATTTTTTCCACCAGCCCACCGCCAGCTCAAGGCTTTTGAGTGGAGATTGAGACACATTCAGACCTGGCGGAAGTGTCGAAGGTTGATTCGACGTGGGCCTCAGAACGTGTAGCACCGCCACGGCAGATGTCCTGTGCAGCCCCAAGCAAGATCCTGATTAGAAACCACGATCAAACGTATTCAACACGTGCACACCGCGCAGACGATACGCCACGCCTTCAAACCGTGCACAACAACCGTAAACGACATTTTCTTTATCGCGCGCACCACGTGTAAAAGCCGTGTGCACAACGCATGCACGACGTATAGAAAACGTGGGTAACACGTACATCACACCGTACATGGTACTTATGCAAGAGGATTTCCACATATAGAACCTGAACTGTCACGTTCAGCTTTCCGCACCAAGATGGCCCGAATAGCCTCCCAGAGGCTCGCCAGGCGCCCCAAACTGGCCCCAAGAGACCCCGAAGAGGCGCCCAGGACGGCCGAAGAGGCCCCCAAGAGTCTTGCAAGAGGCACCCGGGAGGCATCCCAAAAGATCTTGGTATTCACCCAAGACGCCACAGCGCCCGCAGATCGGGCACGGTGGCGGAGTGGGCCGAACGCCTTTCGATAGTTGTGGTTCTCGCAAACAGCTGCTCCTCCACCCTCCTCGTTTTTCTCCGCCTCCTCCTCCTCCTCCTCCTCCTCCTCTACCCATCCCCCGAAACCGCCGAGGGCCACGGCCACGAGAGCTCTTCAATATCAGGGGGCAAAAGGACGTCACGTGTGGCAGCCGCCCTCGCTATTTTCTGCCTTTTCGTCCTCGTCCGCATCCTCAGACTCCTTCTCCTTCTCTTCCTCTTCCTCTTCCTTTTCCTCCTCGTCCTCTTCCCCTTCCCCCGCATCGCCAAAATCATCAGCATCGAACTCGTTAGTCGTTGGCAGCATCATCACCACCACCGCCATCATCATCATCATCATCATCATCATCATCATCATCATCATCATCATCATCATCATCATCATCATCATCATCAGCATCATCATGAACATCATATCTTTTCTTGTCGCCTCCTTCACTCCTCATCGATATTCATCGTTTCTCGCTCCTTTTCGTTATCCTCCTCCCTGCGTAAGCATCTACAAGAACGCAGCGGCCATCGCTGCCTCTCGCCGTGCCCTGAAGCTCCCTCCTTGCCTCGTCGGCGGCGCGGGGCCGCGCAGGCGCTGATGACAAGAGACGAGCGCCTCTCTCAGCTCGTCGTTCGCTCCTTGCGTTAACACCCGAAACGAATGACCGCGAGTAAAGGTGCGCCCTGCAGATCAACGAAGAGGTTCCCAAGACGGCCCCGTAACTGCCCAAGAGGGCCCTTGGACGACCCAGGACGGGCCAGATGGCCAAGAGGGCCCACATATTGCCAAAACGCCAAGACGGCCCCAGAGGGCCCCGTGAGAGTTCCAATGTATTCCCAATTCTGCCCCGCGGGACGCTAAGGCAGCCTCAATATTGAACTCTGCGAGAGATCATCCTCCTCCTCCTCCTCCTCCTCCTCCTCCGCCTCCTCTTCCCCTCATGCTGCTCATTCTCCGCCTCCTCCTTTCATCCGGTCCTCCTCCTCATTCTCCGCCTCCTCGTCCTCATCCCCCGGGGGGTTGCGCGTGCGAGAAAGCGTTTCTTCGGCGGCAGCGGCCGCCCACCGACGACCGAAGAATATGGCGATGGGGACGATGACGAGGACGACGACGCCCGAATACTGACGACGAAGACGACA